GGGGGGGGGAGCCCTGCTGGGTAAATCCACAATTGCACACGTACGTTTCCCCAGTGGACCAAATGATGCACTTCTCCAATCATGCCTCAATCACAATCCACTCAGGGTTTTTTTGTAGACCGTGTGCATGTAAAACCTGGGGCAAATCCACAATTCCTGGTGTGCAAGATTTGTCATTCCACTTGTGCAGAGTCTTTGGGTTCTCCTTGCAGTTTGCAGCCATTGCAATACTGGGGGGGGGGAATCTCTTCCTTCTCTTGCGGGTGGGGGCTGGGGGGTGGGTTGGGGGCTGGCAGTCCCCGGCAAGAATGTCTTCCTGTCCTAGAAGTGATGCTCCCTGTGGGGATGGAGGGCCAAGTGCACTTCCTCATCCATCATAGAATCATGGAGTTGGAAGGGACCTCCAGGGTCATCTAGTCCAACCCCCTGCACGATGCAGGAAATTCACAAATACCTCCGCCTCCACACCCACAGTGGCCGCTGTTCCTCGCCCAGAAGATGACAAAAAACCTCCAGGATTGCTGGGTGTGCTAAGAAACGGCCACGAGAACTAAAGCACTGAGGCAACCCCTCCTGCCTTCCCTCACATGATCTGCCTGAGTCCTCAGGATCAGCACTGCTGTCAGGTGGCCATCTAGCCTCTCTTTGAAAACCTCCAAAGGAGGAGAGCCCACCCCCTCCCAGGGAAGCCTGTTCCACTGAGGATCCGCTCTGTCAGGAAGTTTTTCCTAATGTTTAGCCACGTCAAATCTTGCTACAGCCACAAACTCAGAAGGTGGCCTTAGGCAAGGCGGCACCTTTCATCCCCCCCCTAGACTGCAGTGGGGGGGGCTGAAACAATAGCAGCCCCCTCTATGGGTGTATCCCAATCCCAGTAGCAGAGCAAAAAAGGGCCTCTGCTCCCAAGTCAGAGTGTGCGAGTGGCACCTGAACACATGGGAAGCCCTTTGGGTCCATCCAGGTCAGTAGTGCCCAGTCAGACAGGCAGCCGCTCTCCATAGCTCTTCCACATCATTTTTGATTCCACATCTATTATTGATTTAATTTAATTTAATCTCAGAGCTGGAAGGGACCACCAGGGTCGTCTAGTCCAGCCTGGCCAACATGGGAACTACAGTTATAATACCCTTGACAAGTTAGGTAGCCAATTGATACTCAAAAACAATGAATCCACCACTTCACAAGGGAGATTGTTCCCGTGTTGAACACACCTCATCATCAGGAAATTCTTCCTCAAGTTTAGATGAACCGCTTTTGCTGTAGTTTATGTCCATTGGTCTGAGTCCTGTCCTCCTCCAGCACGACTGAAAACACATCTGCCCCCTCCTCCGCATGGCATCCCTTTAGGTATTTCAACTGGAGATGCTGGGGTTTGGACCTGGGATCTTCTGCCTGCAAAGCTGAGGCTCTACCACTTAGCCACGGCACCTCCCCTACACTGCCGAGGTAGATGGACTCAGAATATCTTTATACAACAGTGTCTGCCAAAGGGGCACACTATGAATGGCTGTTTCTGGAATTCCATCTCTCTTCCATTCTCCCCTCCCCCCCAATCCTGGCTATTGTTAGTTGTTGTTATATTTGCCCAATGCTAGTTGTTCTGAGAAGCTGTTGGCCTGCGGCTGCCATCTTGGATATTGCTGCACTACAGCTGCTGAGCATGCTCAGCACTACCGGCAGTGATTGTGCCCTTGCTTAACAACATGGCGTGATGTGCTGCATGCGGAAAGGAGGCGTGGGAGAAGCAGCCACTCTGGTGGAATCGAGACCAAATTGCGTTGGAACGAAGCCAGTCCACTCCCCCACCCCGTCTTTGAAACCTAGCATTGCCATGCTCCCCCCCCCCACCAGACAAAACGACTAGAGCAACCCAGTGTGGGCCGGAGGGTGTGGCCCAAAGTTTGGGGCTGGTCAGGGCAGTGATGCTGCGGCCAGGGGGGCCTGTGCGGCTGCCTGTTTCGGGGGCTTAGTGGGTAGGCTGTGGCTTGTTCAGAAATGCCCGTGGATGACTTGGTGCTGCTGAGCACAGGGCTGGTGGCACCCGTGGGAGTTCCGTGGCTGCCTCTCTAGCACCTTGCAGGAGGGTTTTCATTGGAGTCGGCTCGTGCACTCACCTGTCTGTCGCTGATACATACACATGGGAGCCAGGCTCCTTTGCAAGGGGTTTTTGTGTCTTGGGACAAATACCTTTTCGGGCGGCCTTCCTTCCTTACCGATAAAATGGGAATGACGGCTGTGAGTCCTGGAGGAGGGGTGAGCATAGGGTGTGATCTGCAGAAGGAAGGTGTTGAGTGGTGGAGATGGAGAGGCAGATCCACTCTGGAACCTTGTGGCATAAATGTTTTGTTTTCTCAGGGTATGGGGTACCTCCATGCAAAAGGGATTGTGCACAAGGACCTGAAGTCGAAGAACGTCTTCTATGACAATGGCAAAGTGGTGATCACGGATTTCGGCCTGTTTGGGATCTCTGGTGTGGTTCAGGAGGGAAGGTGAGTGGGACGTGTCTCCCCCTTCCTCCCTTTCCCACGTCTTCCTGCAGAGTCCCCTCCTGCAGAGTCGTAGGCTTATGCACAGGCGGAAAATATTATTATCTCTAGAGAGCCATTCATGTCAGTGGCACTTCAGAGTCAAGGAAACAGGTTCTTCTCTCAAGAGCCTTCCAACCTCATGTCCAGTTCCTTTGAGCACAGCTGGAAAATTAACAGTCTCTCCACAGTACTGTTTCTTATTTTATGCATGCTTTGTGGGAAATATTGTGCCGGGTGTCCTCCAGCCAAAGCTGGGATATGTTTAATTGCTACTGGTTCCTCCCCCCCCCCCCCCCCCCCCCGCGAACGAAAGGTGAATATTTTGGATATTCTTCTGCAGCTACACAGCTGTGACCAAAACTGGGCTTAATTTTTGATTAGCGGAAGCCCGCTCTCATACCAGTAGGCATATTAGAAAATACAAAACTGACTTTCATTAAATCACACCCACAGCCTGTGTTAGCCCTGCATTGCCTACTCTGATTGACAGCAGCTCTTGAGAGTCTCGTACAAAGAGGGCTCCTTTCAGAAACCTGCCTCTGTCTATGAGATGCAAATTCATCTCTGAAGCCTCAGTTTGCAACAGGGGCTGTAATAAGGATGGAGAGGGAGTTTAACCTTTCAGCCTCCACCCGGGTTTGTGAATGGAAACTGGGTTCTCTACATTTTAAAGAAAAAACATGTTTTAAAAGGATAAAGACATATCCTTTAAAATGATAAAGGAATATCCTTTCAAATGAGAATAGCAGAATGGGGTCCAGTTTAGACTGGTAGAAAGGTTAAAGTCTCTCTTCGTGGTCTCAGTGCAAATGAGACGGAGACATATTCTGTTTGGGGCCACCACACTAGAGAGCCCAAGGCCTGAACCAGGGACCTTCTGGGTGTGCCAGGCATGTGCTTTGCCCTTTAGTGTTTCTTACACTTAGATCCTAATCTTACATAGGACTCCTGGAGGACTCCCGTCAAAGGGCCTGACCAGGTCCATGTTTGCATAGCTTTGGGAAATCTCCACCAAGCGCTTTAGTTGGTCCCAGTTAATCATGATAAACACAAAGGTATTTGAGGTACGAATGAAGAGGTATTTTTGACAAACGTAATGGCAGCAGAGGTAGTAACGGAATAGGGTCCTGCACAGAAGTCTTCTTCACGAGCTCCAGCTCAAGTTCTGTTTGCTCCAGTTGGAAATGCACAACAGCAGAGTTGTACTGATTTGGTTTGTTGCTCCCGAGTTTTAGGTTGTGGAGCACAGGAGAATAGGTACTGTAACGTTCCTTTTCTTGGCATCAGGCGTGAGAACGAACTGAAGCTCCCCCACGACTGGCTGTGTTACTTGGCCCCCGAGATTGTGCGTGAGATGGCCCCAGGGAAGGATGAAGACAAGCTACCTTTCTCCAAGGCTGCTGACATCTATGCTTTTGGGTAAGGATGCGGAAGCCTCTGGCTAAAGATCTGTGGTGGGAAATTAGAGAAACGCGAAGTGGGAGAGCCCAGATGCAGAGTCTGTATAGCGCTTGCTTTTTGGATCCAGTACAAGGGGCTGCTTTTGACCTTCAGAGCTCCAAGTGGCTGGGGAAACAGGATATTTCAAGGGTCGTCAGCCTGCCTGCACACTCTTAGGTGATCGACAGGCGTCTCTCCCCACTCTCTGCCCTCAGAAGGATGAGGCTGAGGCCACGAGGGGGGGGGGCATTTTCCATAATAGCATTAAGGCTTTCAGAGTTCCTTGTGTGAAACTGGTCTCTGAGAAGGTGCTAAACTTCTGCATCTACAAGCCATCTCCCAAGAACTCGACCAAAGCTCCCAAACCTGTAAAAATGGACAAATTACTACCATGTCTTCACAAGGTTGCTGAAGGCACCTGTTGATTCTCCAGTGAAAGAGCCCCAGTATTGCCTTGATAGCATGAGTGAGATGTGACATTTATATTTACTCACTTTATTTGTAGTCCACCTTTCTCGTTGAGACTCTCAAGGCAGATTGTAAAAGATAGAAATCAATTCAAACAAATATCAGAGATCTTTGATGAAAATGCAGCAGGACTGGGATTACAGGGAAACAATGCAGACACAATGCAAATATCTGAGTCGTGATTTACCAGAAAACATGCAGAAACGGGAATGCAAAGGTAGAAGACGGTGTGGTAGAAGAAGATGATGAGATTGGATTTATACCCCTGCCCTTCACTTGGAGTCTCAGAGCAGTTTACAAACTCCTTTCCCTTCCCCTCCCCACAACAGGCACCCTGTGAGGTAGATGGGGCTGAGAGAGCTCTGCCGAGGACTGTCCGTGAGGGAACAGCTCTGACAGAACTATGGCTTGCCCAAGGTCATCCAGCAGCTGCAAGTGGAGGAGTGGGGAATCAAACCCGGTTCTCCCAGATTAGTGTCCACGCACTTAGGAAGGTGATAAATAAGCTAAAGTAAAAGGAAGGTGATACAATAAACACTGCAATCCTGTTCCCTTAGAAAAGCGCCCCCCTGAGCTGTTCTGGTGTATTGCAGTTCTAATCCCTTTATAAAAATGCCTCCTGAGCTTTTCTGTTTTGCACAATCTGTGAAACAGTAGAAGTGGTTGCTTCTGACAGGCCCTGTTCCACAAGGTGGGAGCCACAGCAGAGAGTGTACGTGAACAGGCAGTTGCTACTCTTATCCATTCCCAGGGCCAGGCAAGTCTGAAGTATCCCAAAGCCACAATGCTGTAAATTTCGTGGCATGTACAGGCAGATGTGTCAAAACCTCACTTGGGAAAAAATGGAAAGTATTTTTTAATTACATAGCTGAAAATTAAGAATAAACTTCAATTTAAATTAAAATAGAAAATGATAAAAAAGAAGAGATTTGTTGAAACAGCAGAGATGGACAATTTAACTTTACTATTGAGAGGACATAATGAAAAATCCTTTGAGAATACATGGTCAAGATTTTATAAATGGATGGAGAAGTACAACAATTAGCATTATGGACATACAACTGAACTAGAATAAAACAAAAACTATATGTTTAACTATCAACAAGAGATATGCATAAAAATACAAGGTGGCAAAAAGTAAAAAATATAATTGGACAATGTTTGAGGTCAACAAATAGAAAAAAACCAAAAATGTAAAATGGAACCCCCAAAATCTTTGTATGTATGTTTGTATGTTATGTGTGTGTGTGTTATAAAATAAAAAAGATTTTAAAAAAAGATTTGCAACATATGTTTGTAATAAAATCATTATTAGATATGAATATCGATAGAAAAGATAGAAGATATTTAAACAGAAGTGAAAAATTAAGAATATATATAAGTTCCATATAGGTATAAATTTGATTGATAATTATGATTTAAATGTTTTATGTTTTTTGTATTATTTAGATGATTGTAGACAATTGTAGTTGAGGATGAGTGTAGAGGTATGATTCAGATGATTGTATGGTTGTATTTCATGTTTTATGTCTTTCTGTTCTGGTGTAAAAAAATCTTTAAAAAAACCTGTACTTGGGATCCCCGCCTCACAGTTTGGGAACTTGAGGCACACAGTTAAGACTGCCCCTGTTCCTGGAGTCAGTTGACACTTCTTTGCTTTAAATTTTAGATCCCTTGGATGTTTTGCTTTGAGATTTGTTCATTCTTTTCAGATTTTGGTTTATTTCTGTTATAGTGATTTAAAATGTTTTAAGGATTTTTATTGTTAACCACTTGTAAACTGTTTGGCCCCCCAAAGTGTATTTAAAAAAACCCTAACATTTTTGCATAACTGAAGATTTGGCTTGTTAATTTTAAATTAGACTGCAAAGTGACAGTTCCCACTCTGGCTGTTCTTGTTTCTCTCAAGACAGATGAGCACATGGGATTCCCTGCCGCAGGAGGTGGCGGCGGCTATAAGCACGGACAGGTTCAAGAGGGAATTAGATAAGCATATGGAGCAGAGGTCCATCGGTGGCTATTAGCCACAAGGGATAAATAGGAACTCTCAGGCTGAGGCAAAGGATGCTCTGTCTTCTTGTTGTGGGGGGGGGGCAAAAGTGGGAGGGCTTCTAGTGTCCTGGCCCCACTGCTGGCACCTGGTAGTTTTGGCTACTGTGTGACAGAGTGTTGGACTGGATGGGCCATTGGCCTGATCCAACATTGACGCTTCTCTTATGTTCTTATGATTTGAAAAACAGCAAAAGAGCTTTTCCCTTTCTGTGTTTTGCTTTCTCATTCCTGCAGCTTTTGGACATTTAAAATGGGGGGGGAGGAGTACTAGTGTCAGACTCCTGGACAATGTTACTCTCAACAACACTCTCTGGCAGTGATTTGTTTATTGAGAAAAAAAGATGTTCCAAGCGAAGACCAGTGCTGTGTCAGAACTGAGGTTCTGGAGGGAGAATCCAAAGATATAGACAGTTCAGACAAGCCCCTCCTTTCCATTACATCCAATCACACTTCACAAACATCGTGCCTAGCTTTCGTGCTCAGTACACACACACCCCTCTGTGAATATACGGTTTCTTTATCTATGATAGCGAAGCGGGCATAGTTAGGCTCCAAGGTCATCCCTGTACAAGGGAGATATCTTAGGAAGAGTTACATGAGCACTACAGCAGAGCTGTTCACCCACTCGCCCACTCACACACTTCCCTCAGGAATTTCCCTCCCTCTGCAGGCCCCCAAAACATGGCAAACTAGAGTCCGAGTTTGACAACTGGAAAACTCCCAGAATGTGGCAGAAAAGTTTAAAAGGGAACGAAACAAAGGGCATTGAAAAGGAAAAGTGAAACAGTTTTGACACCACCTTAATTCTTAGCCCAAAAAGGAGTCTGGAGCTAACTTTTGCCTCTGAAAAATGCATTTGTGACTGGAGGCCAAAAGGTCACTCTGTGGGATAGGAGTCCTCTTTCTCCTCCTCACTTCCCCAGTAACTTCCTTGAGTAAATTAACCATAGTTTCTTCTTTTCTGCAGCCCAGTGTAGCTTCACTTCTTGCGTAACTCCTGTTTTATTTTTCTGAGCTAACTCCATTTTAAAAAATCATTTATTTATTGAAATGTTAATCCTGCCTTTCTGTCCACAAGTGGGATCCTCCAGTCATAGTTAAACGGCAATAGCACATAGCAACATGCCTCCCCTCCCCAAGGAGTAATGAGAACCACTCAGTCATAAAGGCTGAAATAAAAAAGTTCCTGACCTGGCATCAGCAGGCAGGCAAGGAGGGAGAAAGAAGGTTCGGAGCTTGGGTGCCACCCCTGGCAAGGCCCTGCCTCATCCCTTGTGTCTCTCTGCCGAGGACCTGAGCACAGGGGTAGGTTTGGATGGGAAGAGGTGGCTTGTCACCAAACTCCATCTGCTTCCTTCCAACTTTGGTAATATTAAAACCCCAACAGTGAGAGCTAGTGTGAGCCTGGGACTGGGGAAACCCTGGCATTCCTTCCTTCCTTCCTTCATTATCTCTCTCTCTTTCTCAATCCTTGTTTCCCCAGGACCGTGTGGTATGAGCTCCAGGCCCGAGAGTGGCCGTTCAAGAACCAGCCAGCCGAGGCCTTGATCTGGCAGATCGGGAGTGGGGAGGGGATGAAGCAAGTCCTCTCCGCAAGCAGTTTGGGGAAAGAAGTTGGCGTAAGTGGGCGTGTGTCCTTCTCTCATTGGCTGGTTTAGCACCCCTCCTCTCCCAATCTCTAACTCCATGATCACTGTAACTGGAATTTCTTTTATATTCTTCTCCCATCCTTCCTCCCAGGAACTCGGGGTGATGTCAGTGATTCCCCGTCTCCTCTTTGACTTGGGTTTGAATTTCCAATCAGCCATGAAGCCCATTGGGTTCTCTTGGGCCACTCTCTCTCTCTTTGAGTCTGACCTACCTCACAAAGTGGTGGTGACAATAAAATGGAGGAAGAAAGTTACCCTGAGCTCCTTGGAGGGAGAGCTGTATGAAAATGTTTACAGTATAGACATGCATACAACTCATGACCCACAGATAGCACCCGTGTTCCCTCTAAACTGGGCATGTGAGCGGCCGCTCATGAACACCGGAAGCCCCGCTCAGCAGCAATCGTGCACTGCCCATTTTAAGATTATAGCAGTTATATTCTGCTCAGGATGGGAACTGCTCCGCTCAGCAGGGGGGAGGAAAACGTAGAGGGAACATTGGATGACACCAGTGTTCCCTCTAAGCTGAGTTAGTGTGAGCTAGGCTCACAGTTTTTTAGCCTCTGGCTCACACACTTTTGTCTTAGCGCAGGAAGGAGGACTCCAGAGCAAACTAATTTATGCAGTGGCCAAATCGCTTGGTTACAACTTTAATATCTTCTGCATTTGTCCAGGGGTGTGCAAAAACAACCCCCCCCCCAGTATTTTTAGGTTTAACTCTATTGGCCCCCCAGCAATTCAGTGTTTCCAAAGAATCCCAGATCCCAATACCAGTATGGTATTGGGATCTGGGATTTTTTGGAAATCCTGAATAATAAAAGCTGAAAAATTCAACTTTATTCAGGCTCAGCTATACCAGCAGCCAATCAGATTCTCTGATCTCTATTCAACTTAAATAATACCGGGAAAATACTGGTAAGGTATTTTTCTGGCTCAGTTTATGCTGAATGCGCCCCCCCTAGTGGTGACGCTCCTATTGAGATTGTGACACTGGAATGAGCAATAAACAGGGCTGCTGCCTGATTAAATAAATCTCAGTTGATTAATCTTGTGAGATGGTTTAACCAGTTGACTAAACCTGCCTATGAGCAGACAAATATTTCCAGTTGAAAATAGCATTCTTTTTCTGTGTTGCGGTTACAGCAAGGACCGTTTCAGAAGAGGCATTCTGTCCTGTGTATTAAATGGGGGGGGGGAGAGAATGGCTTCTGCTTCAGGAGGCCAGGGTTGAGGTCAAAGCTCTGGGCAGCTTTCTGATGAAAAATGCTCACGGTCGGGCTCCTTGGAAGAACCCAGCAGGGGGTCTGCAAAGAGGACTGCCGTCACTCCCTTGTGGGGCTGGCCCTTTCCCCACCACACCACTGGGGCAGAGAACGTGGCTCCCTTTCCTGTTACCTCTGAGCGTTCAGGAGACCCTGCTGGGCATGAAAGACACCTGGTCAATGAGGTGCTCCAGCTCCCAGGTGCAGGGGTGGCGACACAGCAGTCACGGAGGCTGCGCACTCTGCCGCCTCTCTCCGTCACTCCACCAGGCCTCTTTGTAGGACTGTCTGTGTACGAAGCCGAGCCATCCCAGTCTCAGTAAGATTTTTTCCTTGCCTCGTGCGCCATCGAGCGCTAGTCGACACACTAACGGAGGGTGGTGTCGCCTTCCAGGAAATCCTCTCGGCGTGCTGGTCTTTCGATCTCAGCGAGCGGCCCAGCTTCACTCTCCTGATGGAAATGCTTGAAAAACTGCCAAAGCTCAACCGAAGGCTCTCCCACCCAGGACACTTCTGGAAGTCAGCCGAGTACGTATTGACTCTTGCTTTGGTCCGAGGGGGTCAGGTTGGTGTCCGAAGGGGAAAACGTTTTTGTCGTCTGCCCAAGTGCCGTCAAGGAAACTGCCTGCAGGGCAAAAACCCAGGCAGGTTCCCAGGACTTGAATTTAACAAACGCACACTACAATGCTGTGCACATTTACCCGGAAGGACGTCCCACTGATTTCAGTGGTTCTTGTTGCCTGAGTAAAAATGCATGGGATGGGGTGATGATACCAGGAGTCACTGATGAGTAGGATTAAAGTGCTGGACTGGGAGAAGGGAGGCCTGAGTCCAAACCCACCCTGAGCTTTAAGGGTCAGTGCCCCTTGGTCCAGTCACTTGCTTTTTTATCCTCACAATGACCCTGTGAGGCGAGGTAAATTAGGCCGAGGGACAGCAACTGGCCCAAAGTGATCTAGTAAGTGTCATTTTCATCACTTACATTTTTATCTATTTAATACTTTTACAATGCCACCTTTCTCCCAAATAACCAGGACCCAAACGATAAAATCAGCAGAAAACATACTTCTAAAAAGAAATAATTAAAACAGCTGGCAAAATCATGACAGAGCTGGGCTTGTGATCAAGGTCGCCTAAGCCCTGGTCTGATGTGCACACCCCTCCGCCCCTGCTTGAGGAGTTGTGCATGCGTGCAAAGGACCGAGGAGCGCAACTCACGCTGTCAGTTGCTGACTCTCCACCGCAAGGAGGGTTACGATTAGCGCCAGGAACTGTAAGACCTCTGGGCGGCTGCAGTCCCCTCTGGCACAGGCCCCCCTCTCTCCCTCTCTCTCCGGTGTTTGTCTGAGCCCTGCTCTTCTTTTAACGGCACCTGTGCATTACTAACTCTGTCTTCTTGTCTCTCTCTTTCTTGCCTTCCATCCTCTCTTGTAGGTTGTAGCTACCGGGACAATAACCGGCTTGCATGCTTCCTTGTCTCCTAACCTACTCAGCAGCTGGGACAACCCCCTCTCCCCCACGCATGTGCGCACGCACCACTCGCACAACGCTGCCACTCTTTGGGATCCTGGGAGGGCACCCGATGCTTCTCTGACTTCCCTCTGATCCTGCCTTTGCTCTCGGTGTGGGCTGCTGACTTGAAATAACCGTTTCCCGCCAGCCAGGACTCTGTTGCTCTTCTAACAAGAACTGGGCCCAACTGTAGCCCTTCCACTTCCAAAGTCTTTTCTACCAGTTCTAAAATGTGCTGCTCTTTCTCTTCCTCCCCCTGCCCTTTCCCCCACATTGCTCCGTTCTGGGAGTGACCCCAGAGGTTATTTCTGGAGCTTTTGCTAACAGAATTGTAAGCAGGGCATAAACAAGACCAACCAGCATCGTGTGCTTGTATTTTGTATGATTTGGGGGGGGGGGGATTGGTGTACATCTGTTTGGCCGGCCAAAAGAACACCAGAACTTGCTCAGTCCTAAAGATGTAGCTTCAGTTGGGATAGCGACAGATGCACTCGCGTCCTTTTCTTCCCTCCCAAAAGTAAGTGGTGAAGAACAAGAGGGCTGTCGTGCCCACACACACAGAGACGTAGTCGTTTAATTGTGTGGGCTTCAGTTGACTTGATTGATGGATGGGTTTGTCTCTGCACGAATTTGTAGACCTGCTCATTTTAAAGAAGACGGGGTTAGTTTTTAGGAGATGCACACAGCTGAAAAGCATCTGCTCCCGCCTGAGAAAGAAATACCTCTTCCGAAGAGGCATTTCCTCTGCTGTGTGTGACAGAAGGCATCGTGGCAAAAGGGGTTCCTTCCTGGGTACGAGAGAATGGGAAAAGCCTCTGGTGCAGTCTCTATAAGCCCTTGCATTCCAAAAAAGGAAATCAATCGGGGCTAGCTTTTGAGTTGACCAGAATGTGTTTGATTAGTCCAGCCAGTCGACTAAATTTCGCAACCTTATTTGTTTGGGAAGTGTCCAAAGTTTCTGCCACCTGCCCCAGTACAGAAGACTTGTGGCTGCAATCTGGCTTTGGAATGAGACAGATATGCTTCCGTGGAGAGCTGTTTCATCCATGATGTTTTTACACCCTGGAGAAGATCTCTAGGAAGGGAACCGGGAGAAATACGACCACAAGCAGTAGCAAGTGGGGGCCTGGAGCACTTCTGGATAAGAGCCTGCCTGGGGGGGGGGGTGCGGCTCAGGGACCTTACGCTTCCGGTGACGTTGGTGCCCCCCCCCATTCAGAGCCGTCTCACTCTAGTGCCCAGAACTCTGCCATTCAGGCACTCAGGCTGATTCTCTGCCCAAGTCATCCAAGCAACCCCTGGCCATGGCACACTGGGCACAGCACCAACGTGCTGCTGGGGGACTGGGCTGTTTCTTGCCGCATCTGGCACAGGAGGAGTTGATGGTTTATGCCCGTCATCACTATCCGTACCTCTGGTTGAGTCTGAGCCTAGCGTTGGCAGTGCCGGTGGGGTGTAGGAGGTGCTTCGCTTGGAGGGACCAAACCCTGCATTCACCAACCGCATGTTAGGTGTGTTTATCTTTAGCAGAGTTGCTGCATGTGTCTCCAGAGAGTCCTGCCACTGCTCCCTGCCCTCCCCCGGCTTGGTAGGTGAGGAACATCATTGAGCCACAAGGGGGCAGGCATAAGTTGCGTTGTGGGAGCTAGAATGGCAACCCCCTCACTTAGTGAGACGGCTGGGCCCCCTGCGGTGCACACCATCCAGTGCCATTAAAGTAGGACTGGTGGAAGATCTGGGTGCCAATGCCAACACAGCCTTGAACTTCTCTAGGTGACCCTGCACACATCGCTTCCTCTCTCTCTCTCAGCCTAACCTACCTTGCAGGGTTGTTATGAGGGTAAACAGAGCAATGGAGAACCATGGCTTCTTGGAGAAAGCGCAGGATAAAAATGGGCTAGCTCTTTTGAGTCTTGGAAGCAGCCCCTTCATGATGGATGAAAGGTTTTGGGCTGCCATTAACAAGGGTAGGCTGGTTGTGGGGCAGATCTGACCTACAGTGGGGCAGGCGTTGCAGCTTTTAACACTCCATTGCAATAAATGATACGTGCCCAAGAATTGCCCTGTGAGTTGTTTCCCAAGTTAACCTAGAAGGCTGATATCCTACCATGCTGCTCAGCCAAGTTTGAAACCTTCCTTCGGTCCAGGTAGATTTCCATGGACAAAAAAGACTTTTCTGAAGAGGAATGATTCAAGCTTGGCTGAGTGGAGAGGTGCCATCTTTAGCGTGGATTTGGGTGCAAGGCACACATTTTGTGTTTCTGTTACCTGCAAGTGCACCTGCTCAGGAGGTCAGTGTGTGCAGTCACTTCCTGGGCCAGGCACAATAAAGGCTCGACACCCAGTCCGGTGTTCTCCCTTTACGGAGACAGCATCTCTATAGGAAGAGTATTATGGATGAAACAGCCCTGCGTCTTCTAAGTAGGGAGCTAAATTCTGCAGCTTTTTTGGCTTTCTCTGCTGCAACTCCTCTTCTGAACAAAGGTTCAGAGTGTAACCAAATGATTTATTTTTCTTTCGTTTTCTCCTTCCACCCCTTTTTGTTTAGCATCAACAGTAGCAAAGGTGTCATCCGATTCGAACGGTTTGGCTTGGGAGATTTGGAGTCGAGCAGTCAAAAGATTTAGTCCGGTCTCTTTATGGTCCTTATTCACACTTTCTGCCTGCATCACCTGAAAGTTTTTATTGGCAAATCTTCATGGTATCTTCCCAAATAACGGGGGTGGGGGGGGCAAGACATGCCCCACCCAGGTGGACACCCAGCAATATTTCATTCAGACTGTTATGTTTGCTTCCGAGGTCTCAAGTTCTGTTGCGGCATCAGCAACTTTACTTTAAAAAATGTTTACATTCTGATTTTTTTTCATGTGTGAATTTAATGCTTAATTATAAATGTGATATAAAGCTTTTTTATTTAAAAAAATTTTTTTGGGCAAATGTTCAAGTAGCACTGTAAAAACAACCTGTCCCATCAATGAACTAGCTGTGGTTTGAATTTAGCTCAAACCCTTTGAAGCGGTGCGCTGCGTGTTCCCCACAGGATCTCTGCATTTGCTGTTTACACCAGAGCTGAATTGGTTACAGGCCTTGGCTTGCCTCCAGCCCTCTGCTGGGACCCATAACTCTGGTGGGGCTCGATCCTGTCGGCCCATTTCCAGAAGTACTTCATATTTCCCAGCCTTTGAGTGTGAAAGTGGTGTGGATTTTTTCCTGTGGCCTGCAGCCCTGGAGAATTCATAGCTCAGAGGTGGCTGGAGTGAGATTGTACACTAGGAAGCTGGGTCTGTTGTTGGGGCCTAAGCACTGGATCTAGACCTGGGCGTAGAAATCAGCATCTTGGTTCCTGATTTTTGTTTCAAAGCGAGTTTCTGGCCCTCCTGATTCTTTGGGGGAAGGAACTGCTATGTGGGGTATGCAGGGGCAGAATCCAAAGGGCCAGAAGTCAGAGGAGAGCCTGGCGCCGGGTGTGTCATAGTCCCTCAGAGTCGGTTGCCCTTCCCTCCTAACCAGTCCCCCCCACCCTGCTGGCGCCTCCCCCCGTGGTCTCCTCCCACCCTTTAGGGCCCAGTCTGCACTTCGCATTCGCTCCGCTGTCTTACCAAACCCAGGCTGGAACAGACGTTCCCCCTCTACATCGCATGCCGCTTTCACTTTGATTGTCGGATTTTATGGCCATGTCTTCAGTGGTTTTATGGTAGCCGTCTGCATAGATTTATGGCCGTTTTATTATGGCCATTCTGGGGCAACTCTGCAGTCAGTACGGTGTTGGCCCCCGGGGTATCTGGATGTGGTTTTGAGCCGCATCTGTTTCTGTTCCAGTGTGGGTTTGGTAGAACAGCGGAGCAGGCGCTTGATGCAGATTGGGCCTAGGAATGAGGGGACTCCGTTGTGGAAACCTTACAAGCATAAGATCTATGCCAATCTACTGGTTTTACATAATTCCAGGTGCAAATTTTTAAAGTTAACTGGTTGCTGATTTTTTTAAAAAAAGGAATAGGAATTGGATTTAAATACTCTGGTTTTTAAGTGCAGATCTTCTCAGAGCATGTTGCAAAGGGGGTGGGGTGGGGTGGGGGTGGTAACTGTACTTGTGAGCCTGACAGGAGGTCTGGATCAAGCGTATCCCTTTATAGACCCCCCTGAAATGATCCAGGAGGAAAAGGAAGTGAGGGGGGGGGTTATGAAACTGCCGTGACCTCTCCCCTCCCTCCTCTGCTGATCCTGGTAAGTAGAGAGACAGGGGAAAGGTCACAGGTCACACGTCAAAGGTCACTGTGATCTTAGACTGCAATTTGTTATGCTGCTGCCTTTGCCATTTCAAATCCCTTCTCCGCCTGGTGGGCCATATCTGAAAGAGGGATCCTTATGCAGTTCTTCCTTTCCTTCTAAATACGTATTCCTCCTGTTTTAAAATTAGAAGAAGAGTGGGCTTGGGGATGAGACCCCAGTGACCTCTTCCCTCCATCTCTGCTGATCCTGGTTGCACGCTCATCACCAATGACACCACAGGAACTGCCCAGTAGGTGCCTGTGAGCCTCTTCTAAGCCTCGTGTGGGGCAGCTGGTGGCTTACTGGGTCTGCTGTTTTGGTAGAAGCACTGACAGGTGTGACAGTGGTGTTAGGAAAGAGCTCATGCCAAATCCTGCCGTGGTTCGTGCTTGGATTGGAAAAGAGCCTAATGGTAGCTCAGCATTGGAAGTTGTTTTAGCAAACTGTCTGACAACGGGGAGACCGCTGTAGTTGGCAGATCTGATTTTTTGGAAGAGGGGATCATATGATTAGAAGCACCTGCTATCACGTGGAAACAGCAGCAGCTGTGCTGGGTTTTCGAAGGTGGCCTTCTCTGCTGCTTTCCCCGAAAAAGTTCTTCCAGGTTAGTCTGTTTGGTTCAAATGGCCTGCTTATAGAAGGCCAGCACGTCAAGGAGAGAGGCAGGATAGTTTTCTATCCGGCTTCTGACGTGGCAGCTTTTCTAACTGCAAGGGGAGGTCTGCAGGAAGCATTCAGACCCCTGCTGGCTCCCTTCCCCCACCTGCATCCCGGAGTGGGACGGCCCAAGCCAGAGAGAGCTGGCGGCTCTGAGCATGGGAAACGTCTGCTGCTTTGCAGGCCAGCCCACTTCCGACCAGGTACTCGCTCTTTGCTGCACGCGTCCAGCAGGGTCGAATGTTTCCCTGTGACGGTCCTTTGGGGTTGGCTTGTCGGCACAGGAAAGTCAAGCCGCAGACAATTATTGCAGCACAACCATACTGCAGTATCCAATGATGGGTTGTGGTTTCCTTCCGCCTCCCCCGCCTCCCGGATGTCATCTAGTGCAAGAGCCCCCCTACGTGTTGGGCCAGGTTGTCAGGCGGTCTTCTTCTTGGCAGGCTTCCCTCACGACGGTTGCCAAGGTGGGGGTGGGTGGGTGGGTGGATGAACCACGAGAACGGCCTCTGCTGGATGAAGGCAGAACTCTCTGTCCTCCTCACCATCTGCCGTCCTGATGCTTCAGACTGCTCGTCATCCTAGCCTCTGATGCTCAGGTAGACGACTTCTGAGAGCCAGTTCGGTGTCGTGGTCAGGAGCGCGTGCTCTAATCTGGGAGAACGGGGTTTGATTCCCCACTCCTCCACATGCATCTGCTGGTGTGACCTGGGGTCACTCACAAGTTCTTTCAGAGCTGTTCTCCCAAGGGCAGTTCTCGGGAGAGCTCTCCCAGCCCCACCTACCTCACAGGGTGTCTGTTGTGGGGAGGGGGAGGGGAAGGAGCTCTGAGACTCCTTTGGGTAGTGAAGGGCCATGGGGTATAAATCCAGTCTCCTCCTCCTCTTCTTCGTCTTCTTCACATGGACCAGGAAACAGCCAGAGTCCAGAAGCACCTGAAAGACTCAACAGAATCCGTGGCCGGGGAGGGGCTCTCGTGGGTCACTGCTCACTTCATCAGGGCTCACTCACGGAAGCTCCTCCCCGGCCACCGATTCTGTTGAGTCTTTCCGGTGCTCCTGGGCGCTTCCTCTTTTCCGCTGCTACAGACAGACTGACGTGGCTGCCCATCTTGATCTGTACATGGAGGTTCCACTTAAGCTACCATGGCCGAAACCATCACAGTCAAGCTGTCCTCCACAGATTTTGTCTGATCTGCTTTTTTAAAACATGCCCTTAATTTAAAAAAATTGATGTCTCTTCAGAAACTGTTGATGAGCAGCAAATAGCGATCCTCCTTTGTTCACACGGGTGTAAATCAGGAGTTGTTCCACGTATGCCACTGGGGGTGGGGTGGGGGAAGAAGCGGAATTGCTCCGGTTGTGCCGCACGGGGAAAGGAGTCCCACCACCACCACCACCACCGCCTCCCGTGTTCTTCATTGTTTTGGTGGCCTCCTTGTGGTGATTGTCGGGGTGTGTGTGTGTGCGCACTAGCACACTCTGAGGTTTTGGTGTTGTACAAAAACAAAACCCCAAAGGGAAAAAAAAAACAGAAAATGTGAAGCGCCGCTTGATTGTTAAAGAGATTTTCTTAGTCACAACTTCAACAGTGTATGTAAAATGAAGTCTGTAATACTAGTGAAAATTGACATTTTTTCCTTTTCAAATGTAATGTAAACTTTGTACAGTAAATATATATAAATATATAAATATATTTTCTATCAACTGAGTTTGTCTTCCAGAACAGCTATTAATTTAATTTAAAATTGTTAGCATTAACCAAGAGTTCTGTATTAGTTCATGCACCTGGCAAAAAAAAATAATAATTAAAAGACATGCTAATGAAATTCTGAATACTTTAGGGTCCTTTTAAGAGAATAAAACTTTGCTCTGGATGAAACAGTGGAAGTTATGATTCTTTATGTTAAAAAGCTTTATAACTCTTTAAAGGTAGGGATCCCATTTTTGGAGGGGGCGTCATTGTGTGACCTTTGGAACTGAGGTGGTAATAATATGGGGCCAGGTGGAAGGATCTGCTCCGGTAAAGATGGATTCCTGCCTGCTGCATTGGGTTCATGCTGCAACTGAAGCCCCGCAGAATATGAAAATGAGCTGGGCTTGCTGATGTAGTCCCTCTTCTGTCTAGCCTGTGCCGATCCCTGTTTTAACAAAGAGTTGGAGGCAAGGAACAGAGCCGGCCAACAGCTAGACCACGGGTGGAAGAAAACTCAGGGCAAAGCAACCAAATATGGATGACGGCGCACTGCTTTGGGCTTCCTCTGTAGCAGTGACACAGGCCTTCTGGGGAAACGTTTCAATTTAAATAAATAATTTCAGTCATAGAGTCCAGTGGCACCTTTAAGACCAACAAAGGTTTATTCAAGGTATGAGCTTTCGTGTGTAAAGCACTTTTTCAAACACGGTGGAATGGGAGGTAAGGTTCAAACGTATTGACAGGCTGAACAGTGACGGAGATCTCTGGCCTCCCCCGAGCCGCAGCGCTCCTGCGCGGGCCCAGGAGATGTGGCGGTGGGGCTCTCCTGGTGTCCTCCGAGCCACAGCGCTCCTGCGTGGGCCCAGGGGACACGGTGGCAAAGCTCTCTGGCCTCCCCCGAGCCGCAGCACTTTTGGCATGGGGAGCTAGGGGTCGCCGCTACCATTCGTGTGGGCTCCTGGGCTGCCGGAGTGGTGCTCCAGCACGCTCCGGCCCCAAAAGACCCCTGGCTAAATATATAATTTTATGTGGATATAAGTTATCTTGGTGCTCTCTATAATAAGAACATAAGAGAAGCCAATGTTGGATCAGGCCAATGGCCCATCCAGTCCAACACTCTGTCACACAGTGGCCCAAAATACCAGGTGCCATCAGGAGGTCCATCAATGAGGCCAGGACACCAGAAGCCCTCCCACTTTTCCCCCCTCCCCCCCAGGCACTAAGAATGCAGTGCATCCCTGTAAAGGGATATTTTACAATATCCCTGTAAAGTTAGGCTGGTATTATTTCCATACTGCAGATGGGAAGCTGAGATGCTTTCTTAAAGAAAATTAGTGATGCCCAGGATGTAGGAGGAATTTGGACTTTGGGCTGCTGTTCCCAGCAAGAACTGAAAGGTCCAGATATATTCAGCCCAGCAAGGATGCTATGGGTGGGGGAAGCAGAGGGGAGGCAATGACAGTTCTCCAAAGTTTGGGACTGGTTTGGGGAAAGAGACAGAATGCTTTTCATCCTGTTTCCAAGAACTGTGAACAAGAAACTCTTTTCTGGCTTGTCACTTCCCTGCCCAGTCAAAGGTTTTCAAAATCTGCTGCTGCTGCAAGTTCTGCTTCCTTCCATGGGAAGGAGGTGTCTTGTGATACTCATGGCTGGAGGGGCCTTGCGATACCCGCTTGTATTGCTGCTGACAGACTAATGCCAGCTACCCATCTTGTTCTTTCTTCAATGAAGTGAGCAGTGACTCACAAAAGCTCCTCCCCTGCCACAGATTTTGTTAGTCTTTCAGGTGCTACTGGACTCTTGCTCGTTTTCTTCCGCTACAGACAGACTAACTCTGCTACCTATTTTGATCTAACTCCATTTGCACAGTGAGAGGCAAAATGCCCAAATGTGGTCTGAGGAGCTGACAACAGCACCCCCCCCCCCATACTTGGAGTCCCTCCAGCCTGCCGCAAAAACCCAGGCTCCTCCCTTCTTTCCTAGTTAGCTCCCCAGTTCTCTCGAGTGGACGACAAC